ATTAGGTTGCAATTCCAGTAAAGTCAAATTCAGTTTCGGCACTGTCCGGCCTCATCCAGAATAGTTGGACTTAATGTTGTGCTTGATAAGTTTGAATATAGTGTCATAGCCTTCTGACCAGGCCTGATTGTCCTAAGCCGTTCCCACGAAGACCGCGGGGAAGCGATTCCACTTTCCGATCTCAGAACTTCCCACGAAAAATCAGGCCGTTCAGACATGGAGGAAAATCCTGCATACACCCCTCGGGAGCCATTCGGAAGCACCCTTTTCGAGAATGGGCGTCCCACCATCGTAACTTCCCGGATTGAGTCCCACAAGCCTGGGAGTGAAGTCGTCATACCCCCCATTAACTTCCTGTTGGGTTGATGCTGCCCGATGTGTGCACAGCGGGGTTGCGTCTCCGGGCGCAGCCAATCCGATTCGACTCCGGTTCCGAGCGGATGCAGCCCGATTCGGTGATTGCTTCGATCCGGACCGGCTTCGATCCCGATCCGATGTTGACGGATCCTGCCCCGGTCTTTCCCACGAAGGCAAACAGAGAGCAATGCGAGGCAGTGCTCGCGTGAATGCGTCGGGCGAGGCGGAGGCACAGGCATCCGTCGCTCGACGAGTGCCGAGGGCAATCTGCCACTCATCGGCGGCTTGGCCCAGACAGGGAAGAGAAGGCTGGGGTCCTGGCAAGGAAGGCGGGGGGATGCCTGCGGGCGGGTCCAGGACAGGCACGACTCGCTCCAGCGCGTCCCGGGGCGGTTTGGACCGGCCACGACGCCGGACAGATCCTCAGGAATCGGATTCCCGATGCATCCCGGTCCGATGATGCTGTCCCGGTCCTGGCCTCTCAGACAGCGCGTGCGCACGAAGACTGCCCGGCCTCCCGGGCGCGGCCTCGCAACGCAGCCCCAGGTGCCGAACATGCCGGGCGTCCCGCCGATGGTCTACTACAATTTCGACCCCGTCGGCGGCGCCGCGGCGGAGTACTCGCCGATATGCAAGGACCCGCGACCATAGAGGTTCTCAATGTTTTCGGAGTTCGAGGGTCCGGATTTCCGACGAAGTGATCGGTGATCGACGCCTTGTCCAGGCGCCTGCTGTTGCCGTCTCCACCTGTGGGTGCCAAGGGCCATGGGTAAGACCTGGCTTCCAGGGGCCGTATGCTTATCCATCCCCCCACTCTGGCCCCTCCTTGGATCGGGGCATGAGCAGGGGCATGGATCAGGTATGCATCATCCAGAAGGTATCAGGGGATCGGGGCATGAGCAGGGGCACGAGCAGGGGCAGGGAAGGGGTGGATCGCCGATGTGATTGCTGTCCATTCTGGCGTGGTCCCTCGATGCCAGCCTCTGGGCCACATTCTTGGGCGCACCATCGAAAAGTGGATCCGAGGTATTTGGTCCCAGGGACGGGGTCGGGACCTCTGGGTCCGCGCACTGAAAAACATCTCGCCGATCGAGGTTCGAGGTTGGCGTTGTTGTCCCTGTCTGGGCCTCTGGAGGGAACCTCTGGGGACCTGGAGGCCTCTGGGGACGAGGGTTGGTCCCCGCCCACGGCATCATCTCCCCTGAGGAGGAGGAGGAGGAGGAGGAGGAGGAGCAGGAGGAGGAGGAGAAGGAAGGGCAGGGGAAGGAGGGATAGGGTGAGGCAGTGAAAGGGGAAAAGGAGAATAAGGTTGGGAGGGATAAGGAGGACAACGAGGGGAAATGAGGGGAGATGGAAGAGGAAGGGGGCGGCAAGAGGCTCTCATCGTCCTTCCTCATCCGTGGCAGCGTGGAGTCCCTTCCTTTGACAGATGCCGATCGCTCCGCCCTGGCCTCCATTTTCCCATCAGTCGCCGCCTTCATTGTCGCCATCGTTTCCGCAGGTTGACGGTCACAGGTCGTCGTCGTCGTCGCCAGATTAGATAGCACTTTCTCTTGCTCCTGCTGCTCGTGCTGCTGCTCATCCTCCTTATCCTCGTTTCTTGGTTACACCGACGTTGATCGACAGATTGCCGCGTCTGTAGACTGGCCACAGAACAATAATCGACTTAGGCGATGTGCAGTGGCGTTCGTTAGAAAACGTGTTAATCCTGCTCCTCCTCCTCCTCGTCCTCCTCTTCCTCCTCCTCTTCCTCCTGCTCCCCTTCCTCCTCCTCCTCCTCCTCCTCCTCCTCCTCCTCCTCTTCCTCCTCCTCCTCCTCCTCCTCCTCCTCCTCCTCCTCCTCCTCCTCCTTCCTCTCCTTCTCGTTACTCCCCGCTCGCGGAGGACAGGAGCACCCGAATGGGTGGACTCAAGGCCTCCCAAATGGTGTCCGAGTCGATGGGGTCGGAGGATCGCGCCACATCGCCGATGCATCGGCGATGCAGCTAGGTGTGAGGCAATCAGTACAGGGCCTCGCCGTCGAGGGTCGAAGGAGTTGCCGCCTCTTCCTCGCCGGAAGGCGGCGGAAGGCCGGTGGAAGCTTGCGGAAGCAAAAGGCGTCTTCCCAAGAGATGGCCAGGTGCTCTGGTTCAGGTTGTTTTGAACCCGCCATGTGGAGCCCGAATTTCTCCACGCCGACGGCGCGATCCTCCGAACCCATCAGTTCGGATGCAACTACTGGGAGGTCAAACTCTGATTTTGCCCTGGTCCGAAGTCTGGCTAAATCCCGCTTAATCCGGCGTAATAGCCCCCCAACAGGGCTGAATCTTCCTTAATCCTTCCGACGAAAACCTCCCAGTAGTTGCCTCCTAACATCTGCTCGGACCCCATGCGGGAGGCCTCTATGGACAGCGGCCCCCTCTCTGGCCGCTCTGTCCACGCGGGGCCCCGCCCGCAAGCGGCCGAGGGGCGACCCAGGCGGGGGTCGGCAGCTCCTCTGTGCAGAGCCCCGCGGCAGGCCGAAGAGCGCCCCAGTGGACGGTCAGCGGCCGCTCGGCACGGCGAGGACCATCGAGGAGCATCCTGGAGACAGTTTTGTTCGGGTCGGGCGCTAACCCGGGTTATCGGGCTGCCCCCCCCAGGATAACCTAACCTTGGGAGGTTGAGAACAGCTCGGGACGTTCACGCTGGGGGACTGGGACGTGGATAGTGCGTCGCGCCGAAGCGTGGCGGGCCAGAACCAGCGGAGCGACAGACTAAGCCAACGCTCCTGACCGTCGGCTCGCATCTGACGGGAGCGCCGGCGCATGGCTGCCCAGACTCTTGGCGGAGGTACCGGGCCGGGCGAAAGGGGGGGATAGAAAGGGGGGGGGTGAGAATCAGCTCGCGTGGCTGACTTCCCCGGCGCCTCCCGGAGCCGCGAGGCGCCCACGCATCGAGGACTGGGCCCCTCAGTGGGGCCGAAACCAGCCGCGTGCAGCAGATTTCGTACCCCCCCTTTCCCTGCTCCCCCCCCTTTCGTTCGGCCCCCCGAAGGCAGGGCTGCCGAACCACACTCGGGCGCCCTGTCGGCCAGCTGCGGGGGCCTGCGGGGGCGGAGCGGCCAAGGGGTGGCCTCGCCACCGCTCGGACGCCCATTTCCCGTGCCCTCTCTTCGGTCATGTGCGTGCTTCTTTGTTTCTTTGCTCTATGATCCATGAGACCGCTTTTTCTGGAATCGGCGATAACCCGGGTTATCCCAGGGCGGGGGGGAGGAGGGGGCCGGCCGATAACCTGATCTCGCGCCGTGGGCAGCCCTGCATATGCCCGCGCCCCCCTCCCGCGCCCCGCGGACCAGAGCGTTATGCTGTCCGCTCGCATGGCATAGCATGTCGCCCAGGCCGCCGCCGCGACGCACTAAGCAAAAGTTCCCGACCGTACCCCTGGTGGCCCCGTCCTGGCTGAGTTCTTCCAATAGTTACGCCTGGTTGCCCCGGGACGGCCGGTGACAGAAAGACAGTCCTTCTGCCAGCGTTCGTCGGGACCTCGCGTCGATGATTCGACCTGGCTCATCCGCTCCACTCCGCTCCAATCCCTGGGCATCCCCAGCGACGGCGGGAGCCCTCCCCAGAGTCGCCATGGATGAAAAACCTGTCCTGAGGGACAGAGGGGAACGGGTCGAGGTCCCAGACCCGGGGGCTCTCCACAGCACCAGTTCTCGGGGCGAGCGTCACGGGGGCCAGCCAAGTCGTTCAGATCTCCCCTGGCTGACCGAGGTCTGGGAGCCACGTGCCGGCCCTCCGCTGACCAGGGCTTGGCAGCTGCTCCGTGGCCGTCCTGGGTCTCTTGGCATCGCTCGGACGTGTGCATTTTTTTTCTCGGCGAGAACCATCGAGGACCATCCCGGACCCTCGAGCCAAAAAAGCACGCACGAAATCGAAAAGTGCACGGGAAATGGACGTCCGAGCGACGGCAAGGTCTGCGCCATGGCCTCTGGCTGATCAGGGGCAGCGCCAGCCCGCGCTGGCGCGTCCCTTGAGCTGCTCACCCCGGGCAGTTTGGGACCCTCTCGGAGGGCCTGCCTGCTGTCAGCCCCCCCCCAGGCCTCCGTTCCAGCAGGCTCGTGTCGCGTCAACGCGGAGGCCACCCCGGCGTTGGCGTTCCAGGTTGAACGCCGCCGGCGGCCCAGAAACAGCCAAGGTTCAGGTCCAAGGTTCAGCGATCCAAGGTTGGCGATCGACACTCGTCCAAGGTTCAGCGATCCACGCGGTGCCAGAGACCAACGTGGCTGCGGGCAGCCCAGGAAAGGCACTTGGGAGGCGCGGGGAGGGTCGACAAGGCGCGGGCCTGCTGCAGCCACTTTGGCTCGAGGCACGAGGGCTCGAGGCCGGGGGGGGGGGGCCTTGGGGGCCCAAAGAACACACACCACCACCACCACGCCGATTCCTCCTCCCTCCTCTTTCCAGCGAGAGAGGGGGGGGAGGGAGGTGGCGGTGGTGTTTTATTTCTGGGCCCCCTATAGGGCTGCCCCGGAGCGCCTGGCGATGGCGACTGCGACGTTGGGGCAGGCGCCCCGTGGGGCCGGCCCCCCCGCGCTGCGGCGCGGGCCGCCGAGCGCGGGCGCGCCCGAGCAGTTCGGGGACCGCCGCGCCTTCGCCTGGCGCAGGCCGCCCTCCGCGGCGGCAGCGGCGGGGGCCCCGGAGCCCGGCGGCGGCGCGGCGGCGCGGGCGGCCCCGCCGGGGGAGTGCCTCGACCGCGTCTACGAGGCTCGGAGGGTACCGTCGGGGCCCTGAAGAAGGAGCCCTCTTCGCTGGAGAGGGGCTCGGCGTTCCTTGATTTGTGCTGCAGCTTGCCGTCAGCTTTCCTGAGGTTTCCCATGGGAAATCGAAGTTCAACGCATGGGAGAAAGGGGCCCCGTCGTCCTCCTCGTCCTCCTCCTCCTCCTCCTCCTCGTCCTCGTCCTCCTCGTCCTCCTCGTCCTCCTCCTCCTCCTCCTCCGCCTCCTCCTCTTCCTCCTCCTCCCCCCCTGCTCGATTTCCTTGATCCGCGCCTGGGCCCCCCTCCCTTGGTTCCTTACTTGGGGTTCCTTAAGGTCCACGCCCCGACTGCAGGGAGCGGCACAGACAGAAACCGTCGGAGGTGCGCACGGATCTCTCTCGGGCCGGCCTGAGGCCCCCTCTCCGGGTGGCGCGTCCAGGAGTGTGGGCGTCTTCCCCGAAGCCGCCGTTTCTCCAGAGGGTCTGTTCGAGCAGCGTTCCCAGACCCCCTCGAGTCATGAAAAAATCACGACGGGAGGTTTTTCCGAATTTTCGGCCATGGGGCCCCTCACCGGGCCTCGGGAGCGTCAAAAAACGACTCAGGATGCAAAGCCGGTCCCGGGGAAGGGTCTGGACCTCTGGGGGTCGACGTCATGAAAAAATCATGACGTCGGGGGTCTGGGTTAGAAGAGCATCACAGAAGAATCCCACAGGGGGGCTGGGGAGACAGTGCCTGCCTGGTGCCCGCGGCCGCTTCGCTTGCGATGTGCTAGATGTTGTTCAGGAATCCGTTCATGGTCTCAGCGGGCTCCTCCCTCGTCCTTCCTGGCGCTCTGTTCTCTTTCGCCTCGTGCCTCAGTTCGCTTCCTGTGCACCCCACCGCTTGCTTGACCGGCGTCTGACTGTCTTGGACCACTTGACGTCCGCGGACTTACAAAGTTGTTTGGGACTCGTGCTCTCCCTGCAAAGCCAGCTAGTTGTTGATGAGGGCGCCCAGTCCGGCAGCCGGTTTGCCTGATATTCTCCCCACTATAATCATTCCGGAATCGCGTTATCGCCTCGATGTTGGCTACATTTTCCGTCCAGACGACCACGAATCCTTATTAGAAACACAAAAAATAACTACAGATGTCAGTGTTCTCACCTTTGTTCCAGCTGCATCTTTTGTTTCCTAGGGGGCTAGATGCACTGCTGGGGTGATGCAGTTTTCTTCGTCCAGAGGTGGTGCAGCCCACCGCCGCGATCCGCGCGGAGCCGCACCTGGAGGCGAGGCTGAAGGGCAAGAAGTCGCGCGGCGGGCGGGTGATTTGCAGCGAGATCACGGTGAACGGGTGGCTCAGGGTGCCGGCCGACGGCGGCTGGCTGATCACCGACATGCGCGGCGCCGGCGGCCTGCTCGAGGTCGCCGTCCCCGCGGAGGTCGCCGTCGGCGGTGGGACCCCGAGACCTGCGGCGCTGGCTGTTGGCGTATACCAGCCTCAGGGGATGTGCTGCCTGGAGGTCGTCTGCCCGGCCGGCGCGCCGGTCCACGAGGCGCCGAGCCGCTCGGCGCGGCAGCTGGCGACGCGAAGGGCCGGCGAGTACGTGTTCGTGCAGACGATGAACTTCGACGGCTGGGTCAAGCTGAGCGGCGAGAGCGGGTGGATGCTCGTCAGGAGCACCGAGATGGGCGAGCTGCTCAGGCTGCGAGGAGAGGCCGCCGGCGTCGACCTGTGGGCCCTCGCGGACGCTTGGGCCGCCGCCCGAGCCGCGCCCGGGAGGGATCGGAGCCTGAGCCCGGGGCATGTGGCGGCCTTGAAGGAGCTGGAGCAGAGGGTCCTCCTGGAGGCTGGCGCGCTCTACGGCCGGCACGTCCTCGGGGGTGCCGCGGGCGCGGAGTTGGTGGAGCGGAGGCTGCTCGTCGCCTCGGACCTGGCCGAACCCAGGTCGGAGCAGTGGATCCGTCAGCGCCTGTTTGCTGGCGTCCTGCGGAGGCGGGCGGCGGAGGAGAGCGACCTCGCGGAGCTGCTGCCCAGCTTCGCGCTGGGGCCCCGCGTGCCGCCGCTGCCGGTGGAGGAGGGCGAGGGAGACTGCGCCGACCAGGCCCCCTGCCCGAGCGCCGCCGAGGGCTGCGGCGGCGCCGCCGAGGGGCCGCTGCTGCCGTTCGACTACCACGGCAGGAGGTACGTCATGGACGACGCCGGGGTGATCTTCGACCCCCCACACGAGGTGCCCGTCGGCGTGTGGAGCCCCAGCGCGGGCAAGATAGAGCCCGTCGCCGTGCAGTGTGCGGCCAGAGGCGGCCCCGCGGCGGCCGTGGCCTACTTCGGCAGGGCCTTCTTCGTGGCCTCCGACGGCGAGCTGCTCGATGTGGAGACTGGCGCAGCGGCGGGGCGCTTCCACGCGGAGGCGAACGAGCTGGTGCTCAACGAGGGAGAGGAGCTGCCGCTCTACCAGCCCGAGGAGGACGAGGCTGACCTGATAGATCGGCGGCTCAAACATGGGGCCCTGAGGGCCTTGGCCATGGGGATAGGAAGCGGGTCGCAAGCTGTCGAGCCTTCTTCGTTTGAGGTTCTCGTCCTGAGGGCCCCATCTCGTCATCGTCGGAACCATCCCAACCCCCACCAGGGCAGGGTAAGTTGGCTGTCCCAGCATACCCTCTCTAGGTGGGGGCGGGTGCTCCGAAATCTGAAGGAGACGGTACACCCAGAGGTGGTAATTAGATTCCCCAGCGGGGCCAAGGTTTCTCTGGGGGGGGATTATATTCCTCGTCCAGACCCTCCTTCAGGGCCCCATCTTTGAACCGCCGAATAGACGCGCAGGAGTACCTGGACCGCGGCCGCGACATGGCGCGGAGGGGGCGGCTGAACGCCGCGGCCTGCCTCCTCTCGGTGGCGAGCCCGGGGGGGAAGTGAGAAGGACAAGGCCCTCTCAGAAGGCTCGGAAGTCTCCCGGCCTTCTGAGAAGTTTTGAAAGCCTTCCCAAAGACGCAGAAAGTTTCTCAGAAGGCGCGAGGGCTTCTGAGATTCTGAGAAGTCCCGCCGCCTTCCGGGAAGGCCATCTCCTGCTCATTCCCCCCCTCCCTCGCCGCCGATCTTCGGCGAGGCGTTGAAGGGCTGCCGGGGCCGGCCGGCGCACCGCGGCGCGGTGCTGGATCTCGAGGGCGAGGTGCTGCGGGAGCGCGCGAGGTGCTCGGACCTCCTCGGCAGGCCGCAGGCGCTCCTGGAGGACGCAGAGCTCCTGCTGGCCCGGTGCTCAAGGGAGGAAAAGGGACGGATTCACACAGATATAGGTGAAATATCGATGTGAGCATCGATATATATACATATATCTATATATGCATATATATATATATAGAGAGAGAGGTGTGTATATAGATGTATGTCTATATATGTGAACATATATATATATATATATATATATGTATACTTGTATATGTATTTGTGTGCGCATCCTGGGGGGAGGCCCGCGGCCCCAAAACAGGTGCCCCGACCCTCCATGGGGGCGCCGGGGGGCCAGGGGGGCCCCGAGACCGCTCCCAGACTGCTTCCAAACACGCTCCAGCCTGGGGCGGCCAAGAGGGGGGTGATGACTGGGCGGGGTGGATATCATGGCAGCGGGCGGCCACGATATCTCCCCAGATTTCATGGCGCCTCTCCTGATTTCATGACGCCCCCGGCCCCCCTCGGGCCGCGCACGTGCGGCCGGCCGCGATTTGCGCCCCCCCTCGTGGACGCCCAACTCTCGGACCTCCCCGACCGACACCGCTGCTCGTCCTGGAGAGTCTTTCTTCGGCTACGCGCAAGGGTGACCCTTCGCAAGAGACACAATCAATCGTCGACTCCCAGGAAAATATGGGAAAATATAGGGATTTGGGGGAAGACAAAAACCCAGAAAATATGTGGAAAAATGGGGAATCGTTTTATTTGTGTGTATTTATTTGTGTGTCCTGGGGCCCCATTCATTAGTGCGGGTGCACAGGGGTGCCCCCAGCGCTGGCTTGCGCGCTTGGACTCGGCCACCCCGCGACCACCTGGAGCCGCGCACCAGAGGTCCCGCCTGTTGCCTTCGGGTCACTCCTGCGTTTAGCAGGTGCGTCGCCACGGCTGAATTCTCCCTGCCAGTTCTCGCCAGAACGCACCTGGAGAGATGTCTGGGGATAGATCTCGAAGAAGAAAAAACGCCACAAGTCTATATTTATGGCGCTTGTTCCTCTTCCAGTATCGGACGCCTTGCCGCCCCAGGGCACTCGTCAATAAGCGCAGCGCGCGGTGGCTGCACACGGCGGGGGTCGATGTGGGGCTCACCGACATGGGCGCGCCAGCTGCTCGCGTGAGGTCGCACAGCAGCGCCCTCGTTTCCAATGCAGCGTGCCGCGCTGGCGGCCCGCGTGAGCCGCCCCAGAAGGCAGCCACGCGCAGAGGGGGGTGAGGGGGAGGGGGGAAGGCTTCTTAGAAGCACCCCTGCTTTCTTAGAAGGCGCGGGCCTTGTCTGCAGATATAGGGCTGGTGCCTTCTAAGAAGCAGCTTCCTTCTAAGAAGCCTTCCCCCCTCCCCCTACCCCCCGGTGCGCGCCGCCAAGTAAGGTCGGCATGCCATCTCGCAGAAGGCCCATTTCTCTCTTCGTCGCTCAGGTTCGGTACGATCGGCATGGGCACGAAAGGCATGGGCACGAAGACCGATGGCAGTTCCTATTCCATTTGAACAGGCCTCGTTGTCGGTGTCGCCGCGGAAATTGTGCCCGTTTGAGACAGAAGGCCGCCTGCCTATCAGCGACCGCTGTCGGTTTTGGGCAAGATTTGTTGTTGGGCATCATACGCATGTGTTCTGTACACGTCGGCCGTTGGGAACTTGGTATTCCTGGATTCCCAGAACGCAGTATATGTTAAGCGCCTTCCTATGTCAAGGATCTATATGCTTGGGCTGTTGTTTGTTTTTCTCTGGGCAGGCCCGAACTCAGTGTACTTGATCCGCCTTCCTGCTTCATGTTCCTACCTACTTTTTCCGACAGGCGTGCACTGTCAACGTGCCTAATTTGGGGCCCCCCAGGCTCGAATCTGCAGTTACCCTGACTGCCCCCAGCCCTGATGATGCGGGAGGGTTGGACGCTGGAGCCATCCCAGACAACTGTGGCCCGGGGTACCTCCCGTCTGGGCTCCCGAGGCGCGACTCTGCAGCCATCCCTGACCGCCCCCAGCCCTGATGCTCTGGGGTTATGATGTTCCAACCTAACCTTAGCGTTGATCCCCAGAGAGAAGTTCGAGGGGGCAAAGAAGTGCCTTAAATCTAGAGGGTTTTCGCGCGTCGGGCCCTGGGAGACACTCTTCCGGCACTCTTCCGACATGTGTCCGGGTCCTCGAATGTTTGTTCTGGGATGTGGTCCTTGAGTACGATGGGAGCAACATAACTTTGGGGCTCTGAAGTCCGGGCGTGCGCGCAGGTGCCCGCTGGACCCCGAGGCCATGGCCTGGAGGAGCGCGGCCCGGGAGTTGCTGGCGGCCGCGCGGCCTCCGCCGGACGGGGCCGCCGTCGCCCGCGGCTCGTGCGTGCAGTGCGGCGGGTTGGCGTCCAGGTGCGCCGCCTGTGGCCGCGGCACGGAGCGCCCCGGGCCGGCGTGCGCGCCGTGAGGGCGCCATGGGCTCGCGCGTAGGAGCTTTCCGCGACTTCAGTCAGGCCTGTCCCTCCACAGGGGGATATTCAAAAATACTAAAGAATAGTCTGGGGACGATTTGTGTTACCATGTTTGAGCATTTTCTGAATATGTTTGGAGATGTTTGGCCTTTCGCCCAACATCCCCCTGTAGGGGGACAGGCCCGAAACCCTCGACTGCACGTAGGAGCGACCCTTCGCCGGAGTGACCTTTCGGTGCGGGCTCATCGGGGTCCCCACGATGGTCGCGTGCGACGCGGTGGCAGCTCATCGCGCGCTTGGGTGTGGTCCCCCGCGGCCCTCAAAAAGCCGCGCACCTAAGATAACAATCTTTACCCAGCATCACTCTTGCGTGTAGCGGATGAGCGCGGCGCGGGCTCGCGCGTAGGAGCCTTGCGAGGAGGATAGGGGAAGACAACGGCGCACGCCCAAGCTTTCGGAGCTCCGCGCGGAGGTCTTGGATCTGCGCCGGCCCCGCTCGTACAAGGAATCCACTCGGAGCTCTGGAAGGTTATGTCTGTGCTGTTCTTTGCTTCTCTAGACGAGTGGCCTTCTTCCCACCTCACTTGTCCTCAGAGGAGGGCGAGATAGGGACAGCGGCAGTTGGCCTTCGGGCGGGGGCCCCCGTCACCACGTCTAGACGCCATTCGGAAAGCTGGTGTATTTCGACCCCCCAGGAGCCTGGCTGCCTCGATACGCCCACTTAGACGTCCGTGCCAATACGTTGCGTGTTGGCTCCACGCATTGGCTCACGTTCTGGCGAACGCATCGCGTCAGACCCACGTGTTCAGTCTATGGATTGAGCTCCGTATCAGTACACTACGTGTTGCGCCCTGCGTATCGGGGCAGCTACGCCCAGGAGGGGTCCAGGGACCGATGTTGAGTCGCCCTGCTCCCAAGCACCCCTTCGTCCCGTCTCGTGTGCCCCCGCCTCCTGCCGCCGCCCGTTACCCTCCCTTCGGAACCCGGAGGGGTGCGCGCGCGAGAAGGACGCGCGCCACGAGCGGCCAGGGAAGGAACAAACATTATCTTGGCGAAGGACCCAACCATATGCAGTTGTGAGTACCGCAGTGGTGCGTATCCTCTTCGGTGGAGCCCCCTAGATGGGGCCACGAAACGTGTGAGGTGTGTGGCGACGTGGGCGGCGGGGACGCATCTTGTCACAGCCGTTGGGGCCTTCGGTGGAGCTCCAGGGGGCCACGAAACCGGAGCCCGGAGGGGTGCGCGCGCGAGAAGGACGCGCGCCACGAGCGGCTGGGGAAGGAGCAAAAAAAGGGAGTCAAATCCCAGGACGCGTTTTTCAAGGGAGGGAATCAATCCCGACCCCGATACTTGGCGCTTACTAAACGGCCCTGGGCGTTTGCTAAACAGCCATGCCCTGTTCGATTCCTTCCTTGGGTGCGTGGGTGCAGAATCTGCCCCTGGAGCCGCCTGCCGGTGCCCTCCGACCAGACACTCGAAGGGAGTCCGACAGTGGCGACGAGAGGTCTCCATGGTGTTGAGCACCGGAGCTCGCAGCAGGCTTGACCCTCGGCCGTCGACGGATCCGTCCTGGGGTGCGTGCTGACCAGAGGCTCGGCTCGGAGGGAGTCCGACCGCGGCGACGAGCTGCGTTCCACCGTCGGGTGTTGCTAGGAGTGCCCCTGGCCCAAGGGCCCCCAGCTTTTCGCTCCATGTTGGGGGCCGTGGGGCCCTCTGAGCCTCGTGAGGGGTGCTTCGGAGGCCGTCTGGGCCACCCCGAGAATCCTGGGGGCACCTTGGGCCAGGGGTACCTCTAGCAACACCCGGCACCGCGCTGAAGCAGACGATCTGGACGCTGAGAGAAGGAAGCTCGCGGCAGCGCGCTGGCCAAGGCGCGCGGCAGCGCGAGGGGGTAGCTCCGGCGCTGCCAGTCAGGGGGAGGACCAAAAGAGGTCAGGACGAGCGGCAGCGGCAGGCAGCAGAACGAGTCCTCGATTCCCCTCGTGCACCTCCATGCGGGTTGGGAGAGTCCCCTGCCGCCTGAGACGTTCAGGCTCGGCGGGGGCTCGCTAATTCCCTTGGGCCCCTGCGTGGTTGTGCGTCTCTCGCGCACCCAGGCGCTTCGGGGGCCAAAAAGGCGTTTCGTTCCTCAGCGTGCGTTCTTCTCACCACCCACCAAACCACCCCAACCCAACCCGAAGGCCTCAATTTGCCCTCCATTTCCAGTGGGGGGGGATCGGGGAACACCGGAAAAACACATGGTCCCCGAACCCCCCAACCCGAAATTCGGGTCAAATTCGTGCCTTCGGGTTGGGTTGGGGTGGTCTGGTAGGTAGTCATCTTCATGGTAGCACGATGCCTGCACCCGAACTCCCAAAATCTCGATCATCGATCCACGGCTGTGGGCGGAGCCGTCCCATGCGACGGACGAGGCGCATGGCCCCAGAGGAGGAGGAGGAGGAGGAGGAGGAGTAGGAGGAGGAGTAGGAGGAGGAAAAGGGGATGGCCGCGTCACGATGAACCTAAGGCCGAGAGAGAGAGGAGGAGGACGAGGAGGAGGAGGAGGAGGATCTGACCTTTCCCTTTCTTCCCCTGTTTGGGCGTCCGATCTCCTCTTCCTCCTCCTCGCCACCCTCCTTCTCATCCTCTTCCCCCTTCCGCTTCCGCCCCCTCCCCCCCCCCCCTGCTGCGGAGGAGCCGGGATACACCATGTTCGCCGGGGGGTGCCCGCCGCCCATGTTCATCAGTTTGCCGCTGGCAGAGTGCCAGGCGGCGGGCCCACCAGCGGACAAAGAGGGGGAGGAGGAGGGAGGATCGATAGTTGGGCACAAGCTGTCGGAGGTCCGCGCGGATTTCAGCGGGTCCGCGCTGGGTCAACATGGCGACGCCCCCGGCGCCGCCCCATGCCGTGCTCTGCGCGGAAGGAAGGGGGGTCCAGCCCAGCGCCGATCCAATCAAGTCCACGCGGACCTCCGAAAGTTTATGCTTACGTATGCTGATTTGGTTTTCTCATCGGAAGTTGAAGTGTTTGAGCGTGTGCGGCCCTCTTCGCAGGCCCGTTTTGGAACTTCGGGGGCCTCCGAAAGGGACCTCGGGACCTCTGGTGACCTCTAGCGACTTCTGAGGGGGCAGGGGAAGAGGACGAGGAGGAGGACGAGGAGGAGGAGGAGGGAAAGGGAGGAAGGGGAGGAGGATGAAAAGGAAAGGAAGGCAGAGAGGAGAGGGAGGTGACAAAGCTTGAAGGAGGAAGGACGAGGAGCCGCCCCGTTTTGCCTCACCGCCTCGCGCGCGCCGCCGGCCTCCCCGCCCCTGGGCCCCGCAGGAGACCGCCGAGCTCTTCGCGTGGCCGTGGGGCTCGACCCTCGAGGAGGCGGGGCTGCCCGCAGGCTGCTTCGGCAAGGACGGGTTCATGTACTTCAACAGGCGCCGCAGCCTCGCATCGGGTTGGGGGGGGCCGGTCTTCGCCGCCGCCGCGGCGCCACCTGGCGCTCTGCGCCCTCTCTTTGGGTTTCCTTCGGGCCCGGACGCAGCAGCTTTTTTTTCCGCACCGGGCGCTTTCGCTCGGCTTCGGGCGGCCCCGGGAGCCCCATAGATCGATCCGGCACGAAGCATGAGGCAGAAAGAAAGATCTTGGCATCGCTCGGACGTGTGCGTTTTTTCCTCGGCGAGGACCATCGAGGAGCATCCTTGATCATTTGGCGAAAAAACCACGCACGAAACCGAAGAAAACACAGGGAATGGACGTCCGAGCGGTGGCCAGACATAGGATCCCGCGGCTCCGGTGGTGATTTTTTTTGCGATGGCGCAAGTGTGGCAACATCAGGTCTGAGAGTCCCTGTGGGCCTCCCTGGAGGGCCTCTCGTCGCCATGGCTGCACCCCCCCCTCCGAGGGGTTGCTGCAGAACGCCATCTGCAACTCCAGGTCGAGATAGAGCTAGCGTGCGCCAAGAAGGAACGCATGTTGCTGGATGCCGCGCGGCGCGGCGTACGCCACGGCGCGCCTCGCACGTGGAGCCCATTGTCTGGCGCCCTGCCTCGTCTTCAAGGTGTGCACTCGGGAAGAGCTGGACAGCGTGTCGCTGCGCCGCTTCTGGCCCACCACGCTTCGGCGCGACACGCGATCCACTTCCTGGGTCCCTCGGCGTCAACGTCCCGAGCTTCCCCCAGCCTCCCATCCTGTGGATCGGCGGCGAGCGAGGGGGGGAACTGAGAAGGAGAAGGCCTTCTCAGAAGGCGGCGGGACTTCTCAGAAGCCCTCGCGCCCTCTGAGAAGTTTTTTGTCTGCCTTCGGGGAAGGCTTAGAAAACTTCTCAGGAGTCCGGGGGACTTTTCGAGCCTTCTGAGAAGGCACGCCCCCTCTCTTTTTCCCCCCGTGGCTCGCCGCCTAGTGGAGGGGAGCGACACGCTGTTCGTTCCCAGGGAGACAGCGTGTCACCAGGGCCGCCGCGGCGGCACGCTGTCCTAACATGTCCCGTGCCGTCTTCGGTGCGCTCGAGGGCTCCCCGCCGGGGCGCCGCGGCGGCCCTCGCGGTCGTCTCCTCGAGAATTGCCCCAGGCCCCCGGGAAGGGGTCCGTCGGGGGTGGACAGACCTCCTACCCTGACACGTCGATGAAGGAATTGGCCGTTTTCGGTTCGCGAGAGGGCGCCGCGGCCGTCATTTTTGCGGGTCCCGGTCCGTCGGTGTCGGTCCCAGGCCGCTTTCACTAAGGGGAGGTGTACTAAAAGGAGGTTTGTCCACCGCCGAGTCCGAGCAGATGGGGTCGGAGGGTCGCGCCGCATCGCCGATGCATCGGCGCTGCAGCTGGGTATGGCGCCCGCTTCGTTCCACCCCGACGTCGCCGGTGCATCGCCGAGGCATCGGCGATGCATCGGGGATGCGGCGCGATCCTCTCGGCGGCGACGACAAGGGCGAATAGCCCAGGGGGCGGCATTACACGTGTTCGCCCGGGAGCTTTGTCGAAGGCATGAATCATCGGCGCCCCTGGATACATGTGTATTGCCCCCCCCCCTGGGCTATTCGCCCCTCTCGTCGCCTCTGGTCCTCCGGCCCCAGCTGCCGGGCTCCTCTGTGGGCCCGTGGCAGCGGGGAGGCGCGGAGAGGCCGAGACCCGGAGGTGGCCACGGAGGCCTGCGCTCGTGGGGGGGGGGGGCAGCCTGGGGCCCTCCGTGAGGCCAGCGCGGGGGCTTCGGGAGCCCGCCTGGGCCGATCCAGTGGACAATCGATAGATTTTAGGTCGGGCCTGTCCCTCTACAGGGGGAAGATTCAGAAATAGTCAAAAAATCGTCTGGGGAGCATTTTTTTAGTATTTCGGTGCATCTTTGGGGTATTTGTTGAGTTTGTTTTTAACATTCTTCGTTCAAACTCCCCCTGTAGGGGGACACGCCCGACTTAACGATAGATAAAGAAGTAGCATATCTGAAGCCCCCCCGCCAAAGCCCGAGGAGTTTAGGATTGTGGCCTTCTGGGAGCTCGCTGGAGGTGCTCTTGGGAACCTGGAGGGGGCGCTTGAGCTATTGAGAGCCTCCTGTGCCTCTATTGGGAGATATTGGTGCCTCAGACCCTCATTTTGAGACCTCCAAATATGAGCGAGAAACCCAACATCATTGACATGCATGTGTGTGTGTGTGCGTGTTGGCAGGATTCTGGCCTCCTGGGTGGGTCCTTGTGAGGCGTTGTACCCCCTTGGAGACTTCCCGGAAGCAGAGCGTGGCATATTGGAGGCATGTTGGACGCCATCTTCGTCAAATCTGTATTAGAATGGGGATGCATACCGAATCGCCGGATGCGTTCCGTCAAGGCTACCTCTGCTTTGTTTGTTTCCCGCGTTGCGCGGCGACTTCACATGGGCGTTGTAAGAAAACGTTGCATTCAGGATGCCCTGGGCTTCCCCCAAGTTGCACCCCGCGCGCGCAATGGCCCGCCCCCGTGGGAGTCACAGGGTGCCAAATGGTGCGCAGGATTTTTGCATCCGTGCGGAATCGCGTCGCGCACCTTCAGGCTCCGCAGACAAATCACCGTTGATATATTGCGTTTCGTGTAAAGCGCACCCAGATCGGGCGGGCTCGTCGCTGGGGGCACGCAGGAAACTCGCAGGTCGCCCGAGCGCCCGCAGTTTCTCAAAGTGTTGATGGAAAGCGTCGAAGAGGAGTCCCTCCTCCCCTCCTCGTTCTCCCTATCCCTGCACCTCCTGCCTCATCCCCTGACTATCCGATCACATTCCTTTTTCTGTCATGAAGCTGCAGGCCCCTGGCGCGCCTTCAGCATCGAATTCAACCCGCCTCGATCACGCCTCCACCGACAACACAAGATACCAAGTCGCCAGTGAGTCTCCATGGGCTTCTGGAATGCAACACCCGATCAGAAAGGCGCGTCGCAGGGGGAATGCAAGAACCCCTCAGCCTGCCACGCCTCCCCAGCTCTTGAAGCACACGCTGTGGAACAGACCACGCGCCCACCACGTGACCGTGATCGACGCGAGCATCAAAGCCTCGAGACCAGACCCCCACCTGCATGAGCCCCGAAGCGCGAGGGGGGGGGGAGATCGCACCAGCCGCCAGCGCACAGCCAGCCTGCGCGCGTGCAGGCCGCCACGTGGCGGATGCTACCCGCCGGTCGTTGAAAGCAGGTATTTCTGGGCTCCCAGATCCCAATCTACTTGACGCGCCTTCCTACTTCGAGAGTCGATATGCTTCTGCTGTGGTGTGTTACGATCTGGGAGGGCCTGAACCCAGTCTATCCTCCTCCTCCTCCTCCTCCTCCTCCTCCTCCTCCTCCTCCTCCTCCTCTACTTCATCCGCCTTCCTACCTCATGTTGTTTTGCCTGCTGCTTCTGGCCGATGTGTACGAAGCTCCGCTCGCGGGGCGGCGCCTAGTCGGGCGCGAGCAATGGAGGCAACGTCCGCCGGATGCCAGAGGAGCAAGAAGCGAGGACGACGCTGCCTCCCCCTTTTTCCTCGCCCTCGCCCTCCTCGCCCTCGCCGTCGTCCTCGTCCTCCTCGCCCGCCTCCTCCTCCTCCTCCTCCTCCTCCTCCTCCTCCTCCTCCTCCTTCTCCTCCTCCTCCTCCTCCTCCTCCTCCTCCTCCTCCTCCTCCTCCTCCTCCTCTCCTCCTCCTCCTCTCCTCCTCCTCTCCCTCCTCCTCCTCCTCCTCCTCCTCCTCCTCCTCCTCCTCCTCCTCCTCCTCCTCCTCCTCCTCCTCCTCCTCCTCCTCCTCCTCCTCTGCGTGCGAAGATCCCCCAGACTTCCGAGGATCCCGGGACCTCCCGTGGTTCCGCCCGGGCTCGAGAAGCGAGGGGCGCCGGATGTTCCAGCGCTCCCGGAGCGCATCCTGAGCCAGCCGCACCACGACCTCGCCGTCGTCCTATGTGCAGGCCAGCCACAGCTGGGGGAGCTGTGTCCCTTACCCCCCTGGGGGGCCCGTCGATGTCGACACCCCTCTCGAGAGATCGTCGATGCGATGGCTGCGGGTAAGGACCACGGCTCTCCCGGTTGTGGCTGGTCGGCATGTTGGGGCGCCACCTTTTCCTCGAGCGGCCCGGGCCGCCGCGTGCGTGGCCCCCGCTCGCGCCCTGCGCAGGAGCCCCCCCCCCCCCCCCACGCAGGCACCCTGGCCCCCGCTCGGCGGGCCCGCGCCCTGCCTGGGCGACTCGATGGCCCTGCAGGCGCGCCTGCCCAGACCGCTCGCGGGCCCGACTGGGTAGTGTGGCGCGCGCGGTGTGTGAGTCCCCACACGCGCCGCGCTCGCTGCGAACCACTGCGGGGCATCAGGCCCCCTGCCCGCGGGAGCCTCGGCCCGGCCGCCGGGCTCCCCGCCACAGGGCCCGCGCCAGGCCGCCCCGCGCGGGGCTGCCCCGGCCACGGCGGGCGGGCCTGGCCGGTGGTGCTCGCCCGCCCGGCCTCGCTCCTCGGCCGGGCATCGCCCGGGCGGGTGCAGCTCTCCGCGGCGGGGATCGCCGAGGAGCATCCCGGATCCTCCTGCTTCCAAAAAAAACACACGCGCGATACCGACAAGTGCCCGGGGAATGGACGTCCTCGGGCGGGATTGGGACGAGGATAAGATCCATTCCAGGGCGTTTCGGGAACGCTCTCAGAGTGTTGCAGAACGCTCTGAGAAGGCCGCGGCGCCCGAGACATCTTCCAGAGACGCCAGATCTTAGAAATGCTCGATTTATCCATACCCGATGGTATCTTCGTCTTAGCTTCGTCTTACGTCCGAGCGATGGCAAGCCTCGGGGGGGACGACGTCTCGAGCCTAGGTGCTGAGAGCTCGCGGCTTGGAGGCGGAGGAGCTCCACGCCATCCGTCCGGAGGGGGCGAGATTCCCCAAGAAAGAAGCCGAGGAGAGGCCAGACGAGGACCTCGACGAGTTCGGGGAGGCCTTAACAAAGGCATCCGATGGCGGGCTAGCTTAGTCCGATGTACCTGGATTCAGGCCGCTTGTTCATCTCATCTCATCTCTTGTTCTCTTGGTCCTCTCCTTCTCCTCGCGAGCTCCTGGATCAAGGAGCAGAGGAGGCACCAGCTAACGAAGCCTTCGTCGGTTCGTTCCGCCGCTGTGCGTCCTTGCATTGTCCGTGCCGAGCAACTGGCCAAGGAGCCGATCTTGATTAGCACCACGCATTGGCAGCCGCGCTGCTGCTGCGGATATGTCTCCTCCTTTCTCCCGAGGCACTGCAGAGCCCCGCGATTTGATTGCACGGCAGTCGCATCGAGGGGTTTGGGGTTTTCATCTGTAGTAGGTGCTGTCCACTGGGGATGGATGAATGCGCAGTTTGTCCAGTGAGACCGAGCCAGCGTGCATGCTGCATACAGCTGCTATGCCGACGCCAGGCCAAGCTGCCGACATTGGAGCAAGCTTCTGGAAGAGGAATTCGCACGCGCGTGAAGTGCAAGCCGCGAGACCCTGACGTTTCGATCGCTTGGCCACGGTCGCGCGCTTCGTTTCAAGGTTCTTTGTCGTGCCCCCAGCTTCTCGACCCGATCGGGTCCATCTTGCCGACTTGCCTCCGAGCTCTCGGCTTGATCTCGATCGAGCTGATCTGTCGAGGTCACCAAGCAAGCAAGTCTCGCATGCCGCGCGTGCCCGACACTGGCCGGCGCGTTCGACCACCTCGATGTACATATACCAGGATGGTGTGGGTCGTTTGCGTGTTCAGCCCTGTTGACATAACCGATTGTTTCGAGTGACAACATAGATATCAAGCAAAAACAAAACACATGCCTGGGATGGCCAAGAACAATTCAAGACAGCCCCAAAATGGCCCAAGAGAGCCTTTGCTGCGGCCGAAGAGTTCCCGACAGAGGCACAAGATGGTCCAACAGAGTGCCACCACAGCACCTCAAGATGCGCGAAGACGGCCCAAGCGGGCCCAAGAAATTCCTGCTGAGACTACCGAGGCGCCCATATTGCCCTCGAAACCCATAAGTCGTGCCATGGAGCCCCAAGGATGGTCCCAGGACAGCCCCGATATGCCGCGCGAGACTTCAAGATTGCTTCGCGCAGGAGCTCCAGAAGCAGATATAAAGAATCGCTCTGACTAGTCTGCTGTTCCAGAATGCCAGGAAGAGAGAACTCCGAAACGGCTCCAAGAGAGCTTCGGAGGTGCTCAAGGAAGCCCAAGATGGCCCAGAAGGGCTCCACGATTGTCTTCGCACAGCCTAAGAGGCTCCCGAGATGGCGACAAGGAGCTCCTCAACATGGCCCAAGATTGCTCCAACATGGCACCACAAAGCTCGAAGAGGACCAGTGAAACCGCATTCGCGACCCGGGCGTCCTCTTTTTACTCCTTGGATTTCTGTTGGTCGCTAAAATCTCCTTTGCCATCGATCTCGGCTGGCGTTGGCCGTTGATCGCGAGCGCGATGGGGGTGGCTAAAGCGAGCAGATCAGAAGTTGTTCTTTGTGCCGTGGATGCGTTGCAGGGTCCAGCCAGAAATGGGCCTGCGCATCAGACAGGCCCGTCTCGCACAGGCTTGTCTGAGCGCAGACCGCACGCTGGCCTGCCTGCCCAGCGTTGCCGCGAAATGGATTACACTTGTTGTTCCTACTCCTCCGCTCGGAGGAAGAGGAGGAGACGAGGGAGAGCCAGTCCGGTGTACGCAGCGCGGGGGGCGCCATCTATTCATCGCCTTGCACTGCTCGGTTCTGGCCCACGCGGACAAGGAACCCCTTATTTCCAGAGCCAGCGGCCCAGGAGTATCCGAGGAGGGCCACGAGCGAGGATAAAGGAGCAAGGGAAACTGCCGACGAGACACGGCTACATACCTCTTCCTGGGATGCGTTCTGCCCAGAATTTCAAGGCGGATCCAGCCGTGGCGACGATCGCATCTGGAGGCCCGAAAAAAGCGAGACACATCCTTTATCCCATCCTCATCTTCGTGCTCTTCCTCCTCCTCCTCCTGCTCCTCCTCCTCCTCATCCTCTTCGGCCTCCTCCTTCACCCCCCCTGCTGGCACTCATCCCCGTGCCCCGTGGGCAGGGGAGTGAACGGCGTGGGCGAGTTTCACTTGGGCACCGACGCGTTCAGCATTTGCAAGGCGCCCGTGCACGCACCTCTCCTCCCCTTTTCCTTGGCCTCATCATCTCGCCTCCCCACCCAGCCATCTTCCTCCTCTCTTCACCTTCCCCTCCTCCTCATCCTCCTCTTCCTCCTCCTCCTCCTCCTCCTCCTCCTCCTCCTCCTCCTCTTCCTGTGTTCTTTCTCCTCCCCGCCTCCTATTCTGCCTCCTGCCCCCTCGCCACCACCACCCTCGTCCAGAAGCTCTTGAAAGAAGGCGTTCTGAGGTCACCGAAACATTCGGGCAGCGCGTCCCTGGGCTCGTCGCATCGGCTCTGCTTTGACAGCGGTTCCCGCCATCAGTCTAGGGTACGCTCTCGGATTCTGGAGTCTTAATTGATTGGCACGGCGACCCCGATAGAGTGGGGGCGCATTAGTCGGCCATGGATTCATGGGCGGCTCGTGCTACGAGCATCATGCCCGCGAACTCTCGAGAGAGCGGGTTGTGGCCTCTCTGTTTTTGAAAAATTTGATGCCCTTGTGAGCACGGCTCCGGTCCCCATCTGGAGCCCCACCCCTCGGGCGAGCCAGGGGGGGGATACTCCGCCGTTGGGGACGCTGCTTTCCTGACCGGTGGCCCTGGCGATTTCTGCACGGATTTTTCGAATGTGCGCAAGCAGTGCCACGTTTTTCGGCATCGCAATCAGATTAACGGTGGGGGGCGTTCGTTAAGGAATCTGTCCAGGAGGCTTCAGACCCTGGAGGATTACTTCTCTGATGATGGTGGCGGTGATATCCATGGCTAAGCCACACTAAGTGCCGTTCCACCAGCTTTCAGACCATGGGTTTTTTATCCAAGGGTTCATTATCCAATGCCCTCATCGTATACGTTCGTCTATAGCGGTATGGTGTTGCAAGCGTTGTCGCATGCCGACCGTATTTCTTCCTTGACTAGGTCAAGGCTCATCAGGATATGCAGATGGTTGAAATTCCTCTTCACGAAGCCTGTTTACGCGTGGGCAACCATGCTGCCAATCTGGCGGCCAAACAAGGCGCTCTCCGACATCCCGCTGCCTCGCCCGAGCTTCAGGAGGCTGTTTCTAGGTCTGTGACGGTTGCCGAGGCGGTCGCCAGGTTGTTTGCCCGTTTCCTCCCGCTTTGGTTTCGCTTGGAGCTCGACGGGGTGCCTCTTCTCGTCCCGCCGCGCCCTGCCGTTGAGGCCCGAATCGGCCACGAGAGGGTGCGGTTCGGATGCGCCTGGCAATGCACCCAACGTCTCAGGAGCGAAAGAAAGACGTACACGCGCATGAATGCACGATGGCTTCGAGAGTACGCATTGCGCGAACGTTCGTATCACGCGGCCGGTATCGCGGATTGGGGGGCCGTGTTCATGTATTTGGTTGGGCGCGTACGTCTTTTGAGGGTTCTCTGCTGTCTTCGAAGGAGGCGCTGTGCGGCGGAGCCGCCTCCAGGTTGGTGTGCTCGCCACTCTCGCGTCAGGGTGGCCGCGCGTCTGTCGCTCGGACAGCGGTGCTGGGTGGCGGACTGCAGCGACGAACATGTTGACTGTGTTTGCCAGGTGCGCACGTGCTACATCTCTCGGAGGTGGATAGACCTCCTACCCTGACACGTCGATTAGTGAATTGTCCGTGTTCGGTTCTTCAGAGGGCGCCGCGGCCGTTATTTTCCAGGCTTGCGCCCGCCAGGTTTGGGCCCGAAGTCGTTTTCACGAAAACACGTTTTACTAAAGGGAGGTCTGTCCATCCCCGAATCTCTGGCCAACGCCTTGCGAACCTCGCGGGGCGTTGCTCTGGCCCATCCTGCGAGCAAGAGTGGCACGCCCAGGACACCTGATTTCTGGACGAGCACGCTGAGTGGCTGCCACCCGAAGCGGCCTCGGGTAACGCTTTTTGTCGAGCACGGTTGATGCACTGTGTCCGTGAGCTTGGAGGAGGGCTGTGGGGCCGACTCCCGTTGGGCGCACGGCCCGCCTCTGCGAGCCGATGCCGCGTGGCATCGTCGCCGGCTGGTGTCCGCTATCTGCCCAGGCTTTCGTGCTGGCGTGACTCTGGGGTGAGAGCTCCTCGCACCTCAGACTGACTCAACGCAGATTGGTGGGGGTGCACTGCAGCGGTGCATGTCACCACCACCCTCACCCCCCTCACCCATCTTCGCTCTTCGTCATCGCCATCATCGTCCATAGTAGCCTCGAGCGGTACCCATCGAACGGGCAGCGGAGCGCCGCTGCAAAGCACCGTCGACCTGAACCGGCGAAGGTGCACCCTGGCTCCCCCTCCTCTGTGCAAGAAGTTGGTGAACAGTTACGGTCGCGCTCTGAGTGGCACCGAACATTGGCATCGCCGTATCAACAGGAGGAGTTGTTGTTTTCGCTTTGAGTTTTGGAGAGCGCGTGCGTTGAGCAGACAGGGGTGGTCAGGCGCCGTCGCTCTCCCGCTCACGTGTCGCCCTCCCTCCACCAAAGGACGAGGAGGATCAGCAGCAGCAGCAGGAGGGAGGAGAAAGTAAGAAATCAGCGGGTGGAGGAGGAGAAGAGGTGGAGGTGCAGGAGACGGAGGAGGAGGAGGAGGGAGGAGGAGGGGAGCAAGGAGGAGAAGGAGGAGGAGGGAGCAAGGAGGAGGGAGGAGGAGGGAGCAGGAGGGAGGAGGGGCCAGGAGGGCGGACGGCGAAGCGCCGGGCTCACGGGGAGCGCCCACAGGCGCCAACGGCGGGGGATGAGCCGAACGGCTTCGTGGCGCCTGAAGCGGAGCCGCCGCCAGGCATGTTCGCCCCTGCAGATGGCGCGTCTCCGACGCCTCCAGATGCGGCGGCTCCGCCGCCTCCGTTCAACTCGTTCGCCCCTGGAGCGGGAGCTCCCTCGCTGCCAGGTCGGAGGACGCCAACTGGACGCCCACACCGATCCTGGCCAGGCCGATCCTGGTCCCACGATCGGTGTTCGCATATACATCTTGCATGCACGTGCACACTTACATACACCAATAACTATACATGCACTTGTAATGTACATGTGCGTCTGCATCTACAAGTATACACACGGGCTTACATGAACGAATCCGCGTATATGTGTATCGTGTGTGTATGCCTTCCTCTCAATGCCGATCCCGGGCCCAGGATGGGCCTGGCCAGCTGGGGGACGCGTAATACGGAGGCAATCAATGAGGGGGGCAGCAGGGGCTGCAGAAAAGGAGCCCTCTCGGGCCCCTTCAGGGCCCAAAGGGAGGCCAGTCCGAAAAGGGCACCCTTCTGCCCCCCCCTAATTTATTGCCCCCCCAGTGATTCGCGCCTGAGCCAGGATCGGTGCAGGTGCACAGATGGCATCGTCCTGTCCAGGATCCGAGGGGCCCCCTGCGGCGCAGGCGCCGGTCACTCCCTGGGGAGCGGCCGCCCCGCCCGCAGACGATGCCGCAGCGCAGGGAGCGGCGCAGGACCGGGAAGGTGGAGGTGAAGAAGGAGAAGGAGGAGGAGGAGGAGGAGGAGGGCGACGAAGACGACGACGAAGACGACGACGACGACGATGATGGCGGCGGCGACGACGACGACGACGATGATGACGACGACGACGACGACGGAATGAAGAGGAGGACGACGACGACGAGGTGGAGGAGGGGAGAGAGTGGGAATAGGAATGGGTCATGGGCGCGAAGTCCGCGTATGCAGGAGGAGGAGGAGGAGGAGGAGGAGGAGATGGAGGAAGGATGGAGGAAGGAGAAGATCGACGAGGGGAGAAGGGGGGAGTGCCCACCACCGCTGCCAACACCAAGCCCTCCACAGGCCCAGTGCTCTTGTCCAGATCTCGTTGCACGTCGGCTCCCGGCAAGTCCGCGGGGCCGTGCGCATACATTCCCCAAGCAGCGCTTACATGTACAGTGCCGTTTTTTATGCATCCTCCGCGTGCGGACCACGTATTAAAAATGCAGGGGGGTCGTATTGAAAACAACGATGAGCTCATGCATAAATTCATTCATCAATTGATCATGTATTAAGAACCCGATAGTTTTCCCCCAAAAAACATATTAATTAAAACTGCCCTGTACATTCCCCAAGCAGCGCTTACATGTATGACTTCTCATGCGTTCGTACAGGAGCCGGGCTCGTGTGTCGCCCCAGCCGGCTCGTGGTCGCCCCGTCGCCGCCCCGTCGCCGCTCGTCGCCGCCTTGCCGCCGCCTCGTCGCGGGCTCGCGCGTCGCCCTGGCTGGAGCGTGGGCACCCCGTCGCCGCCCCGTCGCCGCGCGGCTCCGCCCCTCGCCGCCCGCCGCCGCCGCCCCGTTGCACCCCCCCCCCGTTGCATTGCCATCGCGTTGCGCTGTAGTCGCACTGCTCTGCACTGCACCGCACAGACTGCGCCACGTGCGTTGCACTGCACAGCCAACTGACCCAACACACGTCTGCGTGTAGATATAAGATATGGCTATCCCTGGGCACGAGGCGGGCTGGCCTGTGGTCCCGTCCCCGACAGCGCGTGGGAGGGCGGGGCCTCTGGGGACGCCCCCAGACTGCCAGCCTCAAGACATGAGACAAGGGCCCCGAGAGGCCTCCAAGACGGTCCAAGAGGGCCTAGAGTCGCCGAAGTAGTGTCCTAACACGCCCAAGATGGCCTCCAGACGACCAAAAGGCTTCCAACACGGCCCAACGGGTCTCCAAGAGCACTCCCAGAAGGGCCCCAAGAGGCAGTTGTCATAGATTGTCCTTGGTTGTTTGATGGAGTCTCGCGTTTCTGCCGTTTTGGGTTTCCCGACGCTCCAAGACGATCCTGGAGGCCCCAAACATCGGCCCGACACGGCCTCAGAGGCCCCCAAGAAGGCACCGAGACGGCCCAAGAGGCCCCCCAGACGGCCCAAGACGCCCCCAAGGCAGTCCAAGAGGGCTCCAAAAACGCCTCAAGAGAGATCCCAGAGGGGGAACATGAACCGACATGTCGAGCCCTCCACCCCTTGAGGCACCCAAGAAAACCCCAAGCGGCTCCCAAGTGGCCCCTAAGAGGCCCCAAGAAGTCCCCGAGAGGCCCCCAGTAAGCCCCAGAAACCACGAAGAGGCCCCCAAGAGCTCCCCCCCAGACGCACTGAGGCACTCCTGACGATCCTCGACGCCGTCTCATCACCGAGTGCCAGTTGCATCCCATGTCCTCGCTCGCCCGCCCGACTATGCGTCTTTCGCGCATCGTCGGCGTCAGCGGTGAATATTATAGACCCTTCGCGTAACCCCGCCAGCCTATCCAGAAACGAGGCCCAGACGAGTTGCCCTGATCAGGGATGTGGATGCAGTGGAAGAATGGGCTGGGTAAGCTTAGGGGTCCCCTTGGCGTGTCTTGAGGATCTCACTGCAGTCCCGGCGGCCTCTTGAGGCGTCTTGGGTGCCTCTGGGGGCCTCTTGGAGCTTCTTGGGGATCTCTTGAGAGCATCTTAGGGGGGCATCTTTGGGGTATCGTGGTGGCCTCTTGGAGCCTCCTGGGCACCTGTTGGGGCCGTCTCGGGGCACCCTTGAGAGCCTCGGTGGCCATCTTGGGGCCATCTTGGAGAGGATCGATCCAGAAGGGGGGCCCCTTAGGCCCCCCCCCAGGAGGCACAAATGTGGCCAATGTAGCGTGCCGCGCTGGCGGCCAGCGAACGCCGTGGCGTGGGGTTGCAATGTCTTCTCGCGTAAGTCCCGTTAGTTTTTTGTCGCTCATGTGTGTTTTAATCAGGATCGCCTTGCTAATGTGCGGCCATCGGAAGGCTGGCACAGGTCTGACCCCCTCGCCCGCAATTCTCCAAGGGAGCAGCTCGATTAGGCCCACACGGGAACTCCACAATGCTCCTGCCCTGATCTGGGACGCCGAGCCGGCAATCGTGGTTCACATGTTCTGCTCCTCGGGCGCACACTTCTCCAGCGGGCGCGCCTGGGACGCACCTGGGGCTGTCTTGGGCGCACCGCCGCCCGAACCGGGGACGCGTCATCTGCGAGCGGGCACGCTCTCGATCCGGCCTCCGTGGATCGAGCTGGATCGAGGCCAGATCCCAAGATTACCAGCCTCGAACGTATCCCTATCCCTAAGATTGCCACGCCAAAAGGCGATGACAATCTTAGGGATTCGCCCTCAAAAAATAAGGGAATCCCTAAGATTGGCATCGTGATGAGGAGGTGCCCAGCATAGGGATAGGGATATGTTCCAGGCTGGTAAAAGACGGGAGTTGGTGACACTCCCTTTTGAAGCGCAGCGTCCTTTGGACTGGGAACCGGGGATCGAGAGGGCTTGACGACAGATCCGAAGATGACAGCCGGTGACCACGAAAGCCCCGAGGGATAAACTCTGTGGTGAGATTGAACATTTGGCCACCGCTCGAATTCTCGGGTCAGCTTCCTCCCACCCCTCACTCTCTGGTGCGTTCTGCCAACTGGTGCATGTTGCTTGTTGTTGCATGTTGTGGGTTGTTGCATTATCTAATGTTTTCTTCGTGTTCTGTCTATCATAAGTTCACATTGACCTCCGATTAGCGAGTCGTTGCTGGAAACCTCCGTGCCCGCGAACAGGAGATGTCATTGTAGGATCGCCAGGCAGCCGCAGCAGCCCGAGTTGTGCATTGCGACTCTCGCCTGGGCGTTTTTGCCCGTTACACGCTCTGGCCAGGGACGCCGGTCGGCCCCCAAGACGGTGCAAGATGGTCCCAAGCTGCCCAATATGGCCCAGAAGGACTCCCAGAGCACTCCCAAGAGGGACCCAAGAGGTCCAAATCATTAAATTCCGATGGGGGACGTACATGTTTAGCATGTACGATTTTTCAGCTTTCGCGGCTTTCAAGATGGTCCAAGCGGTTCCCAAGGCTTCCCCAAGACAGCCCCTAAATGTTCCCAAGAGGCCCCCGAGCCAATCCAAGAGGGCGCCAAGACGGCCCAAGGGCCGCCTAAGACGGCCAAGTTGACCCCAAGACGGCGCCCAAGACGGCCCAAGAAAGCCCCGAGTCGTCCAAGATGGCCCAAGATGGCCCCAAGACGGTCCAAGAAGGCTCCGAGGCGTCCCAAGAGGTCTCCAAGAGCACTCCCAGGAGGGCCCCAAGAGGCAACAATGGCCCCATTCTCATCGGAAAACGTGCATTTCTACAATGTTCGCCTCGTGGGCTTTCACAGCGTCCGAGCCGGCCCGAGAGGCCCCCAAGATCGTTCCAAGACGGCCCAAGAGGCTTCCAAAAGGGCCCAAGACGGCCGAAGAGGGCCCCAGGACGTCGCAAAAAGGGGCCCAGAAGGAGTCGCCGAACGGACATTTCAAGCTCTCCGCCCCTAGAGGTCCTCAGGAGTCCCCAAGAGACTCCCTCCCAAAAGGCTCTCCAAGAGGCCCCAAGAGGTCCCCGAGAGACCCCACAGAGGCCCCAAGAGTCCCTCAAAAAGCTCCCGGGAAGCCCCACAAGGCCCCCAAGAGCACCCCCCCAGACGCCCCAGGCGAACTCTATGACACGGGCTTTCAAATCAAGGAACCCTCAGGCCCTCGCGATAGCGCCCACAAGGTCCCCGAGATGCCCCCCAAGAACTGTGCGCGTCAGTTTGTCAAATGCTGGGGGGCGTGCTAGAATCTAAGCGCGCCTAAGCGCGCGCGAAGCGCGCGTGGTTCTAGCATATACATATATATATATATATATATATATACATACATCTCCGAGGTGTGGAGGTTAGATCGCAGTGACACGGAGATCCCTCCTACCAGGAAATCGGTTTCGGTTTTGTGTTCGTGTTGTGCGTGAGGGCGAGGCGAAGCTGCGTGGGCCCCCCCCCCCCGGGTTGTCCGGCGGTGGCGGGGGGTGTCCCGCCGTGGTGTCCCGATGGTTGGTGTCCCATGGTGGCCCGCGGTGGCCCATGGTGTCCCATGGCGCGGTGTCTCATGGTGTCCCGCGGTGTCCCTAGAGGTCGATAGTGAGGTCGATAGTGTAGTGAGAACGATTGTGAGGTCGATTGTGAGATCGGTAGCGAGATCGATAGCGAGATCGATCGAGTGAGGTCGACCGAGTGAGATTGAGAATGAGATCGATCCAGTGAGATCGATTGAGTGAGATCGGTTAGTGATATCGACAGCGAGAGCGATGCTTGTATTGATTGTGAAATCGACAGTGATATCGACTCTGATATCGATTGTGAGAGGGATAGTGAGATTGATTGTGAGCTCGATTGTGAGATCGATTGTGAGATCGACTCTGGGATCGATCGATAGTGAGATCGATCGGGCCAGATCGACTGTGAGATCCACAGTGGGAGCGATAGTGAGATCGATTGAGTGAGACGCTGGTTCCTCCATCCCCCCTCCGAACCTCCTTATCACCCGAAGGGTGGTCGTATAGGTGTGTATGCATATGCATGTACATGCATGTGTATATGCATAGTTATACATACATTACAGCATGCATGTATAGATGTGTGTGTGCTTGTAGACCTATAAATACATATATATATGTGTGTGTGCGTATGTTCCAGAGCGGGACTTCTCCAAAGAGGCGTTGTTTTCTTTTGCTCCTCTGCGGAGGGCGGCGGACGCAAAGCAGGGCGGGCCCTTCTCGGCGAAAGGCCGCCGGAGGGCGGGGGGAAAGGCGGCAGAAGCCAGGGGCGGAAGGCGCCAGCGTGCCTGGTCCTCTGGAGGGCATCCTCGGGGTCGGCCACGCGTCCACCCGGGCGCTGGCTCTCGGGGCTGGGCCTGTGGCGCATCCTCGGGGATGGGATCGGGGTATGAGGTCGAGGTCGGTTCGGGAGGGTACCCTGATCTTATTCGTGCTTGTTGGATGTTCGGTGTGTTTTGGCCGGCGGAGGGTCTCGCGTTCTTGAGGGATGTTCTTCTGCCCCAGGTTCGATTGTACCCTGCAGCCCTGATAACGCAATGGAGGCGTAGCCTGAGTCAGGTCCCCGTATTTGCATTAGAAGCGTTAGGCTTACGTGGTTCTATTTGGTACGTCTGCTGAGAGGACCCCCTCCTTCCAGTGTCTTGGGTCTCCTGGCTCAGGTCCGCTCCGGAAGGAGGAGGGGCCCCCGAGTTGCTCATCGGTGGAGCGGAGCGGGTTCTCGCCGTGCACAAGCGGGCACCGAGTGGCACCGAGGGGCACGGGCCTGGAGGCTCAGCGCCGTTCTTGTTGCGCAACCCTGGGCCCCCCACGGGCCCGGAGGGCTGCCAGAGAACAGCGCCGACGACGACGACGACGGCGACGGCGACGGCGACGGCGACGGCGACGACGACGGCGACGGCGACGGCGACGGCGACGGCGACGGCGACTACGACGACGACGACGACGACGACGTCATCGGGGGAAGGCCGTGGGGCCCGTGGGCCCGTGTCCCGTGGGACGCGCCCCGGTGCACGTGCCGAGGCTCCCGGCGGGTCGTGGGCACCTCCCGCTCTCCCCGGGCCAGGTGCCGTTCCAGGCCGCTCGATGCGGGTCGACGGGTCCTCGGGGGCGGCAAAGAGGGGGGTGATGACTACACGGCGGTCGTTGAAAGTAGGTATTTTTTCGACTAGACGTAAGAGTGACCTTTCACCGGAGTGACCTTTGGTGCGGGCACAGATGGGCCCCCAGATGGCCGATCGCGAAGCGGCAGCAGCGGCTAGCGCGCCTGGATTTGGCCTCCCCGCGGCCCCCCAAAAGCCGCGCACCAAAGGTCACTCTTACCCAGGGTCACTCTTACGTGTAGCCGATTTTCAGATTCCCACATCCCAATCTACTTCAAGCGCCTTCCTACTTCAAGAGTCGGCGTGCTGTCGCTGTGTTGTATCATTCTCTGGGAGGGCCTGGAGCCCATCCACTTTATCCGCCTTCCTACTTCATGTGTTTACCTATTTCTTCCGACCGACGGGTAGAGGGGGATCTCATGGCGTGGGCCATGATATTTCCCCAGATTCCATGGTGCCTCTTCTTGTTTCATGGCGTCCCTGGCCCCCCCCCCTTGGGCCGCGCACATGCCGCCGGCCATGACTTGCACCCCCCCTCCTCTTGGACGCCCCTCTCTCGGCCGCTCCGATATCCGATGCCGATGCTCGGCAGCGAGCGAGGGGGGGGAATGAGAAGGAGAAGACCTTCCAGAAAGCGGCGGGGCTTCTCAGAGGGCCTCGCGCCTTCGAAGAAGTGTTTGTTGCGTCGTCGGGGGAGGCCTAGAAAACTTCCCAAGAGGGCGGGGGACTTCCAAGCCTTCTGAGAAGGCCCGCCCCTTCTCACTTCCCCCCCAGGCGCGCCGCCTAGATGCAGCCGATCCGACGCACACTCCGAGTCAGTCCAATTTCCCGATCCAAGCCCAGAGATCCCTAGGACAGGATCGCTTCAATCCGGCGGCTTCTCCTGGATTTCGGCCCCCAGGGCCCGTGATCGGGCGCCGGGGAGCTTAGTGAAAATGGGTCCGGGACGACAAGCCACTCCTGGGGAAGGGGCCAGGACCTCTGGGGCCGCGGGCTGAAGAGATCAGATCGGCGGATGTCTGGGAAGCTGGCTGATCTCAGGAGGGAGAAAACGCACACAGACACAATTAATCGTCGATCCCCAGGAAAACATGGGAAGTGGGGGGGAAGACAAAAGCCCAGAAAATATTGGAAAACATAGGGAATCCTGTTATGCGTGTGTATTTAATTGTGTGTCCCAGGGCCCCATTCATGATCCTGCCCCTGGCAGGCCCCGACGTCCTGGATCCCGGACTGGGCGCTGCCCGCCGACGGGGGGCTCGGAGCGGCGACCGGGGCGGCCACGGCCGCGGACTTCGACCCAGTGGCGCCGCCCGCGGACGCCTTCAGCGGCGCCGCGGCCGCTCCGCCGGCCCCCGGGGCGTCGGGCGCGAGCGCGGTGGCCGGGGCCCAAGGGACGGGGTGTCACCGCAAACGGAGGGGTCGGTCAGGGCGCCGGCCCTGGCTGCAGGGTCCTGCAGGATCTCTCGCAGGGTCCTGCAAGGCCCAGCTGGCCCGGGTCTGCTTTGCCCCGGGCCAACGAAAGGGGAAGGAGAACGACGATATTCAGGAGGGCGGACGAATGTCAGGAGTAAGAGGGGAAAGGAGGGGAGGAGACGGAAAAGGAAGAGGAGGAAGAGGAGGAGAAGGAGGAGGAGGAGGAGGAGGAGGAGGATAGAGGGGAGGATAGGGAGGAGGAGGAGGTGGCAGTAAATCCCCGAGGTGGGCGATCCGCACATGACGTCGGTCACGGGCGCCAAGTTCGACTTGGCGCGGGCAGGCTCGCGCGGGGGAAGCGAAGCTCCGAAGGTTCGGAGGTGTTCGGGCGCGGGCGCCAGCCCCTGGGCGGTTCTCTCCAGCCTCGGGGTGCCTTTGAGCAGCTGCGCCTCGCCGAGGGCGTTCCAGGGCTGCCTGGACCGTCCCGAACGACAGCTGGAGCGCCGAGTTACGGCCAGAAAACCAGGGGGCAACGCCAGCGAGGATAATAGGCTCAGGGGGGGGTCGCATCGACCCCCAATCGCCCCTGGATCGCCGACGGGGACCTCATTGCCCACTCCGCCAGGATCGTGCGAATTCGCCGATCCATCGGTGCTGCATCGCCGACCCGTCAGTGATGCATCGCCGAGTCCTGTTTGATGTGTCTCCCCCTGTGGGCCGGTTACCCTCTCAAACGTTGCCCCTCATGATGGGGGTGGTGGTTCTGCCTCGATCTCTGTGTCCTCCCAGCCCTCCCTGCGGCCGGGCCCTCGTTCCCAGATGTCCGGCGGTGCGCTTCGGTTCAATCCTGGTGGCGGTCCTGTTCTTTCGGCTTCCTGGAAGGTTTTTTTTTCAGGCCCCAGGACCTAGTTTCGGGCTAGGGACCAGCAGGAGTGGATCCAGGACGCACAATTGCCCTCATGGAAGGGGTCGGGAGCTCTGGGGCCTGCGGATGGAAGATATCACATTGTCGGATGCTGGGTATTTTGAGCAGAGCGCCAGTTGCCCTCCATTCCGCCCTTCATTCCCTTCTCCTCCTGCCTCTCTGCACCTCCGTTCTTCGAGCCTCGTTTCTCCAGGCCGCTTTCACGGGGTCCGGGTAGATGGGGTCGGAGATGGGCGGAGGTGGTCGGAGGATCGCACTTAATCGTCGACGCGTCGGTGATATGGCTGGATTCGGACCCCGATTTCCTCTGTCAGTGGCGTCGCCGACGCATCGCCGATGCATCGGCTATGCGGTTTGATCCTCCGACCAGGGAGGAGCGGGAGGGAGAGGAGGGGGATGATTGGGAGGAGGAGGAGGAGGAGGAGGAGGAGGAGGAGGAGGAGAATGAGGAGGAGGACCAGAGTAACCCCAAGATGCATCAACGATGCTGCAACACACTCTCCCGTTCCAAGCCCCCTCTTCGCACACTCTCACAAGTTGCCCTTTCTATTGCAAAGAACGCTCCGCTTGGAAAAGAACATGCCATGCATCCTTCTGGTGCGTGATCAGCACCGCGGAAAACTATTGTCACGCAGTGGAGCGGTGTCCAGCAAGATCCAGCTATCGAAGAAGGACCGACCCCGTCTGTGTAATTGCTGCACAGGTCCGCAGTTGTGGTCGAGGGCTTCGAGCGAGTCCGAAGCGAGTGCACAGCTTTGAAGCAGAGCCGCCCTGGATCCGTGCAGGGCTAGTGCAGTGTGTTGACGTGCTGCGTCTTGCAAAAGTTGCGAAGGCCCGATTGAGAACCCCGTTTGCAAGAACAGCAGCCGTCCATCCCGATTCACCGCCGCACGAAGAGGACGAGTCTTAGCTGCGTTAAGGCGGCTGCAACCTGGTAGAAACGGCCTGTTGCTGAACCCCAGCATCTGTTGCCAGAGTCTGGAACACATGTGCGCATCGCCAAGGCAAGATCACGACTGTGATTAGGAAGTGCCCTCCATCTTCGAAGTTGATACACATTTGAGCGAATGAGCGCGGCGGTAAGGCGAGAGCACAAGGTTGGAAACGGCCCTGCTCCCATATTTGAAACTGTTGCCGTTTCAATGCTCGCGGCGCTCAGGCGAGCACCATTGCTTTAAAAGAAAAAGGCCCGTGCCCCACTCGGCCCCGTAGATGCTTCAAGAATTGAAGCGAATGTGCGAGGCGCCAAGCGAGACCCACCTCACGAAAAGGAGCCGCACTGCATACTTGAAATTGCTGCACAAGTTTCAAAACGAACGTGCCCAGTGCTAACGCGAGAGACACATGTCGAAACAACCCGTGTTCCATCTTTGTAGCTGTTGCAAACGTTGAACACGAATGTTCGCGGAGTGTACGCGAGAGCCGCATTTTATAAACGCCCCTCCTCCTCCTCCTCCTCCTCCTCCTCCTCCTCCTCCTCCTCCTCCATCGAAGGAGAACGTCGACCTTGACAAACTCAGGAGCAAGTTGAACGACAGCAGTTGCATCATGAACACTTGCTTGCTGGAGATTGGATTGGCTCAGAATACGTCTAAGCAGGTGAACATCATGGCGTTACATGGAACGGGGAGCGGCATTGCGAGAAGGGATTTGCGACAGAAACACAACAGAGATCTCTGGGAGGGCAAGCTAGTCGACCATGCCAGGTACCTCGGCCCGATCGTCAACAGCACGCAGTCGTTCGGTATTGAGTTGACAAAAAGAGCTCACGCCGCTACGGCGGCGTTTTTCTCGATGGGCTCGTTCTGGAGTGCAGCACGTATTCCGTGGAGGTGGAGGCGCACGGTTCTCTTGGGACGGGTGGTGAACGCAGCGCTTTCCGCCGTGGAGGCCTTCCTGCCGTCCAAGAGACAGTACGACACACTGGACGGCACTGTTGCAGCACTGGCGAGGATCGCTATGCGGGGCAGAGCCTGCACATGGAAAGAAAATGGAGAAGCACGCTCACTCACGAACGCAGAGGCCCTGGCTCACTGGAAGATAGCTCGAGCAGAAGTGGAGTTACGAGTAAGACGGCTACGGTGGCTACAGCAGACAGCGGCCGACAGGAACAACAACGTCCAGTTCTTCGCGGCGGTTTTTGGCACTATCAGTGGGCAGGCTTTCAGCACGCTCAGCGACGACGACAGGGTCGCCGCCTCTGCGAACCCTTGGGCCAAGAGAGTTCAAGCGGATGTGGATGAATTAGTTCACGCTTCGGAAGAGGCGCAGGCACTGATGGAGGAGGCTGGCCCGCACGTAGTGGCTTGGCTAAAACATCCTGAATGGAGGTCGCAGTTCTATCAAATTGATGTCACCATCCTCCGAGCTCGAGAATTCAAACACAACATCGCGCCCCCAACATGTGCCCCGCCCCCAGCCTTGGAGACTGCGGAAGAGGAGACCACGATTCACGAGGTGGGGGAGGTATTCAAGTGCCAGGTTGAGGTGGAGGGGAGGACCTGCGGGAGGACTTTTTACTCGAAACGGGCCCTTCGTACTCATGTTCGACAGGTACATAGTATCGTAAATATGTGCTCGTTCTTCAACCCCACGAACGAGTGCATAGTCTGCCAGACAGTATTCGCCACGCCTGTTACGGCGCGTCGGCATCTCGCTCGATCGATTCAAAGGGGTTATTGTGTTGCCGATCTCGCTCGCGCCCTCGTCGAAGCCCAAGAACCACGGTCCCTCGACTGCCCTGGCTGTGACTACGTAGCTGGCTCTTGGCTCGAGCTACGCCAGCATCTGGTTCGGCATCTTCCTTTCATACCAGATATACGTGCACCCGCTACGGTGGGCAAGAACCTCCGCTATGGCAGACGACGCGGACATGCCAGGATGGACGAAGCAGGCAGGGATCGCAGACCCCAAGTGGGCGCTACCCAAAGGCAAGCGTGGCGCAGAGGACGAGGCGGGCAGCGTGCAGAAGATACAGAAGGCCGAGGACATCGTGGAAGAGGCCAAGGGCAAGGCGGGCAAAGGCGCCAACAGGGCGCAGGTCGTGGCGGCGCTCGTCGCCATCCGCGGCAAGCTAGTGCTCAGCATGGCGGGCGACCTCAGGGCGGTCATCAGCGTGGTCTTCGTAACGGCCCTGGTGCCGACGTCGATCCCGTGCATCGAGGCGGCGATCAAGGCGGGCAAGGACTACCACGCGGCGGCGATGAAGCTGCGCGAGGAGAGCAAGGAGGACGACAAAGTGGACACGGCGAGGCTGGGCAGTCCACACTTGTATGTATGGAAGGACTTCATACGCGCCCTCCTCGCGAGTACAGAGGAAGGCAAACCTCGCGAGATACTAACGTACTACTGGCGCAACCACATCATGAGGTACGAGCTCGTGGACGCAGCAGCGGAGGTCAAATATTTCAGAGTGAGGACCCCGCAGGGCAAAGAAAAGAAGAAGAACAAACGCATGGAGGGCAAGGTGAGATTGCAGTGGGCGTTGACGATGACCAACAAGACGGCTGCGGAGCTAGACGACGTGCTGCGATCGGAGCCCATCCGTCAGGGGGCGGAGATCACGACTGGAGCGGCACCACGCGGTGTCTTGGAGAGGGACGCCAGAGCGCTCTTGAGCAAGCTCGAAGGAGGCTCCAACCAGCTGATGTGAGAAGGATGGACATGCTGTCGTCTAGCGCCAGGCTCGAGGATTTAATTAGGAGAGGAGCTGTGAGTCGTGAAACGGTTC